GGTTTCACCATGTTGGCTGGGCTAGTCTCAAACTCCTGACCTCAGGTGATCTGCCCACCTCAGCCTCCCAAAGTGCTGGGATTACAGGTGTGAGCCACCATGCCCTGCCATATTGCCCACATTCTTAATGCAAGAAACTGCTAAATTTCAGTTAGAGATTAGTGAAAATAAAGATGTTATTCTTTCCCATCCTAGTTTACAGACCCCCCAGAAACCCACTCATGGATTCTCCAGAGTCTTTGGACCTGGCTCAGACACCCTTGCTTTGGATCAAGTCAATGCAATCCCCTAACACACCTATGCTTTATGTGGTCCCTGCCCCTCCCTGCTCAGAGGACTGCTTGTTAACTTAATTGGGTTGGGGGAATATATATTATAGGAGAGAGGCAGAGAAAAAGAAAGAGAGCAAATGTTATTCTCCTTGTCTGTACCTGTATCTCCATCCGGACTCCCATTTCCTCTGCTGCTGTCCTCTCTCTCTTCCCTTTTAACATCTCTCCCTCTCCCCATGGCTTCTGTTGCTGCCTTCCCTCTCCCTCACTGCCCAGGTGTGTGTTCCTGCCAGACAACGGCGCCTTCTTTGTCAACTACGTGATCACGGCAGCTTTACTTGGCACAGGCATGGAGCTGCTGCGTCTGGGGTCACTCTTCTGCTACAGCACCCGCCTCTTCTTCTCTAGATCAGAGCCAGAAAGAGTCAACATCAGAAAGGTACAGGCTGGCCCTTTGCTGAGCACAGCCCTCAGTTTCCTTTGGGAGGGTGTCAGGGATAGAGCCTGCTAGAAGCACCAAGGGGGCTGAGGTGGGAGGGACGGTGTGAATGGGTGGCGGTGGGGCACCTTGGTCTACAGGGTTGGAAAGGAGGCTGCCTCCAGGCCTGAGCTGCCAGCAGGCTGATGAGGAGCCACAGAAGTAGTGAAGCCAAGGGGACTGGGCCACCTCAGGGTGACGCCTGCCTTCTGCCCCAGAACCAGGCCATAGACTTCCAGTTTGGGCGCGAGTACGCGTGGATGATGAACGTGTTCAGCGTGGTGATGGCGTACAGCATCACTTGCCCCATCATTGTGCCTTTTGGTGAGTTATCTCCAAGGCATGCCCAAGGGCTGCACACCCGCAGATGGGGAGGAGGAATTGAGCCCCACAACATCAGTCCACCTCCTGAAGCATGAGGAGACCTGTGGCGGGGAGGTGTCAGGACCAGGGCCAAGCCGGGGGTACGGAGGAGCTGAGGTTGGATGGCTGCCGACGAGGGATGTTTGTTGAATGAATGCATGAGTGAATGACTCTTCACCTAGCTGAAAGAATCAGTTCTGGGGGCTCAAGGGAAGCTGCTGGCCCCGGAGGTCAGCACCACAGAGCTCCCCCAATCCATCCTGGGCTGTTCTGACTCTGACAGCCCTGGATCTGGCTTCTCAGGCCTATGGAGACCCTGGAGCTGCAAAGGTCCAAACTCGAAGGGGCCACTGAATAAGTTTCCACCTTTGGCCCCCCAGGGCTGCTCTACCTGTGCATGAAGCACTTGACGGATCGCTATAACATGTACTACTCCTTCGCACCCACCAAACTGAATGAGCAGATCCACATGGCTGCTGTCTCCCAGGCCATCTTTGCGCCACTCTTGGGTCTGTTCTGGATGCTGTTCTTCTCTCTCCTGCGGTTAGGTAGGTACCGAGCCTGCCTGGAGACCCCACATCCGCCTGCCCCACTGCTCTGCGAGTCCCTTAACACTGACCCTGTTCAGGAGAAAAGCAAGATACTGCTCGCCAGACCTGGCCACACCCAGTGACTTCTCTGGGCCTAAAGGGCCTGCATTAGAGTCTCAGCAGAGCTTCAAGGCTAAGAGGAGGCCCTGGGCCAACACGGTCCCCATGTGTGGATTTGG